TCACAGAGCAGATCAGATCAGTTCGGGTTGGTTCAGATCGGTTCGGGTCTGTTGTGTTTCCATGTACATTTCTGGACCGGCTCTGTAGGCGGGGACTAGAATCCAACTCGTCTTACCACCTGGTGGCGGTAGTGCTCCCTTAAGCTACTTACTAGCCACCACTAAACGTATTAGAAGAAGAACACCATGAAGGTTTTGTCACACGCTGTTGTGGAAAAGATGTCCTGCTCTAATGGAGTACCTCATGAGCTGTAACTTTTAAACCTGATTCATAATCCTACCTTACTGCCTTCCCTGCTGCTTTAAACCCATGTGTTTTTCATTTTAGGATAGATTTTTACAATAAAGATGTATTAAAAATATCTTCACTTATTATTTGCAGATATGCACAAGGTTCATGTTAAAATTGCAAAACATCACACTGTGCTGTAATCTTTGAAACTGCTTTTACAATAAGACTTGAAAACAATTAGATTAAATTTTGTCCTTGAATTTTAAAGATTTGTCTTTCATTAAATTAAAACATAAATTTATTACTTATTAATCTAAAAAAGTTAAGTCTGGTCCTCTGGACATTCAAAAAACAAAACTAACAAAAAACATTTAGTTTATTTATTATAAACTGTATTGTTTGTTTTGTGAATGTCCAGAGGACCAGACTTAACTTTTTAGATTTTTCTACCTGGATTATTGAGCAGCATCAGGATATTAATTAATAAATAGTCAGTTGGTCTGTGAACACCATGGGCTCCTAGAAGAGTTGAAGAGGTGGCTGTTGATGTCTGTGCCTCCCTGGTGAAGATGCTGCTCCCGCAACCCTGAAGCAGAAGAGGATGGATGGATGGATGGATGGATGGATGGATGGATGGATGATGGATGGATGGATGGGTGGCGAAGGAGGAGACCATCAAACAGCAGGAGTGGTCAGTTCAGGTGAACTCCTGCCTGTTTGCTTCAGATCAGCTGTTCAAATCTCTGCAGGTTCAAATAAAAGGTGCACCAGGACTTTCAGCTGAATCTCTCGGGCCACAGTTGTACGGACGATAAACGATAACTGCTAAAAGATAACTGATGACTGATAATTGATAACTGTCCTTTCTGAATTTTTTACTGTTTTTGTGTCACTTCATCCTAGAACCAAAAAATTTATAACATAATAACAGTTGAGCAGATACTGGTAATCTTTTCTTAGGATTCATTAAAGATCAAATGCAATTGGAAATTCTTCTCAACTTCCAGTATGAATTTAAACAAACACTTTATGAACTTAACATTGTAACATTTGTTTAGGAAATTTAATGTTCAAGGACACCACTTAAGGAAAAAATTGTTTAATATGAAAAGTAAGAAGTGAAAAATGTACAAAAATAAAAACTACTACGTCCAACTAATGATTGTGTCTGTCCCTTGTCTCACGGGCTTCATCCAGAAGAAGACGCACGTGTTGTTCCTGCTGTGTCCGGTTCAGTTCTTCATGTTCATTCAGTGATGAAATAAGACTTTTCTTTACTGGACTCTTTTCTCTTTCTCTTCACTAGAAAGAAGAAACAGGTGGTTAATTCAAGCTACATACTGTTTTTGAATAAATGCATGAAACAAAGAAAGGTGCTGCTAACAGCTATAATAGATATATTAATAATAAGAAACTGATAACATAAGAAAATGATAAATAAATTGATTTAAAAATAATGAAAATGATAATAATGGATATATGAATCAGAAAGTATTATACAGATGCAGATATTCTTTGTCATTTGCACCACATGTGGTCCATGTGGTGGATGATCAAAATTATGTTCACAGGGTCCCAGTTACATCCAACAATAAAATATAAAAGAAAAACAGTAATAAGATCTAAGATATGAACTAATAAAAACATCAACTAAAAATATGATAAGCTCTAATAGCATAAAAACATTAAACACAATACGCAGAACAGCAGCACGGACATGAGTCTGTGTGAACAGATGAGCACGAATGAACACAGCAACATGAAACAGATCAGCAGCAACATGAAACTGATCAGCAGCAACATGAAACTGATCAGCAGCTACATGATGTGATTCTTCACAGTGTTATATATTCATGAGGCTGCACAAACTCAAGTTCATGTTGCTGTTTGACGTATTGTTTTGATTGTTTACTGCTATTTATGGTCTTTATGCCGTTGAAATCAAGAAAAGTTTTGAAGTGCTCTGCACAATTGGAAAAGACCCCGACGAACTTTGGGAGGAAATCAAAGCCATCACACAAAATACAGCGGAAAAAATAGTCCCTTTGAAAAAACCAGGAAGAAGAACTCAGTGGATATCGGACGAATTGATCCAAATCGCCAACATGCGCAGAGTAGCCAAAGCTACTGGTAACAGCACAGAATTCAGAAGGCTAAATGCGATATTTCAAAGGAAAGCCAGAGAAGACAAAGAACATTACTGGAACAATCAATGTGCAAAGCTGGAAGAAGCAAACAAGTTAGGTCATACACGAGCTCTTTTCACCTATGTGAAACAGACCAGGGCACCGTTTGCAGCACGCAAAGCAGCGGCCATCAAGGACCACGATGGAAAATTATTACATGACAAAAATCAAATCAAGCGTAGATGGCGGGAATACACAGAAGAGCTGTACTCAGACCATCAAATAGGACCGATGGAACAGGCTTGTCAGGTCGAACAAGAACCATGCATTCTTGAGGAAGAAGTCGAGTGGGCTTTGAAACAACTACCAGACGGAAAAGCCTCTGGAATCGACCATCTACCTGTTGAACTACTAAAAGCAGTGCCGATTAAGCTTTTAACAGACCTATGTCAAAAAATATGGTCCACCAATTCGTGGCCCAAGGACTGGAAAAGATCAGTCTTTGTCACTATTCCAAAAAAAGGCGATGCCCAGGAATGTTCCAACCACCGTACTATCGCCCTCATATCTCACGCAAGTAAAATCCTTCTGAAGATCATACAGAATCGCATTGCAACGATTGTCGATAAGGAACTGCCGGAAGTTCAAGCTGGTTTTCGCAAGGGACGCGGCACTAGAGACCAAATCGCAAATTTACGTTGGATCATGGAGAAGACCCAGGAATATCAAAAGGACGTCTATATGTGTTTCATTGACTACAGTAAAGCTTTCGACTGTGTTAATCATGAAAAGCTATGGAAGTGCCTGACACAAATGGGCGTCTCAGAACACATCGTACAGTTAATAAGATCTCTTTACAACGACCAAGAAGCAACGGTTAGGACGGCATACGGGAACACGGAGTGGTTTCAAATCAGGAAAGGTGTTCGTCAAGGCTGCATCCTGTCACCAGTTCTATTCAATCTGTACGCAGAAGTGATCATGAGGCGTTGCAATTTGGAAGAATCTGAAATTGGAATCAAAATCGGCGGCAGAAACATCAACAACCTTCGGTATGCAGATGATATAACCCTGCTCGCAGAGAGTGAAAAGGACCTCGATTGCCTCGTTCGACATGTGCAAAAGGAAAGTGAACGAATGGGACTGTACCTGAACATCAAAAAAACAAAAGTTATGACCACGGCAGGCAATGGTATAATGAACACGCAAATCAACAACACGGTAATCGAGTCTGTCCAAGATTTTATCTTTCTTGGTGCAAAAATGGACCGCAGCGGGGCTTCGGCTCCCGAGATCAAGAGACGAATTACACTTAGCAGGACTGCAATGCTGGGATTAGATAAGCTCTGGAAGAGCAAGGATATTAACCTTGTAACTAAAGTAAGACTAGTCAACGCAATTGTCTTCCCCATAATGATGTATGGCTGCGAAAGTTGGACGCTTAGGAAAGTAGAGAAAAGAAAAGTCGAAGCTTTCGAACTGTGGTGCTGGAGAAGAATGCTAAGAATACCTTGGACTGCTATGTTGACAAACAAGACAGTTTTGGACCGGGTCAAACCATCAATGTCCTTACTGGGCAAAATTACCAAACAGCAGCTCTCTTATTTTGGTCACGTGATGCGTGCAAATTCTTTGGAAACGTCAATGATGCTTGGAAAAGTCAGTGGAAAAAGAAGACAAGGCCGCCAAAGAACGAGATGGCTCGACACAATAACGACAACAATGAATATGCCAATTGCGGAATTGAAAAAATTGGTGAAAGACAGGGAGGCATGGAGTTCGAAGATTCATAAAGTGACCGAAAGTCGGATACGACTGATCGGATAATCATCATCATCATTAGTGCTTAGTGTTTTATTAGTAGATGTTTTTAGTTGATATTTTTCTTAATTCATATCTTAGATCTTATTACTGTTTTTATTTTACATTTTGTTATCTGTAACTGGGACCCTGTGTACATAATTTCATCCCAATTCAG